GCCACTGTGCTCCAGTCTGGTGACAGAGCGAGTCTCAAAAGAAAGAAAAAAAAAAAATTTAGTTATCAAATATCAAACTTTTAACTACGTTAGTCATTTTAGCAGAAGCTATAAATTAATTGCTACTAGCTAAGATAAACTGTGAGATAACACAGCTCATAATACAGTACTACTTGTTTTTTATTAATTTAGAGTACAGGGCCATACTGCTGCTAAATACTGGCCAAAATTAAAAAAACTAGATTCTAGCAATTTTTCGGGATTAGGTATTTGAGATTGCTGCATACTTCTTGAAACACACTTGCTGAAATCTGCTCGGCAGACATCCTCGATCACTGCCCTTATACCTTTACCTCTGCAGCTTCTTACCTGTTGCTGCTCATACCTACAGTGTTCATACAGTAAGAGCCCAGAATCCAGAGCATGGAACTAACCAATTATACATTGTCCAGCAAGACTTTCCTGTTTGCTGATGAACTGTAAAGTGCTTTTTTTTTTTTTTTCTCCTGAGACAGGGTCTCACTCTGTCACACAGGTTGGAGTGCAGTGGCACAATCTTGGCTCACAGCAACCTCTGCCTCCCAGGCTCAAGCCATCCTCCCACCTCAGCCCCATGAGTAGCTGGGACTTACAGGTGCATGCCATCCTGCCCAGATAATTTCTGTATTTTTAGTAGAGATGAGGTTTCTCCATGTTGCCCAGACTGGTCTCAAACTCCTGGCCTCATGTGATCCACCTGACTTGGCCTCCCAAAGTGCTGAGACTGCAGGCGTGAGCCACCATGTCTGGTCTAAACTGTCAAGTTTATCAGGCCTTTTGACATCTATTAGTTTATTGACCCTGAAACATCTGAAGTTCAGATAAATTTAATGACTTTGCCCAAGGTCTCATAACTGAGTTAGAAACCAGAATTGTAATCTAGATTTTTAAACTTCAGATTTCATTTATTTTGCATTTCATTAAGTTGCCTTAGGCCTCACTGCCCTTTCTAAAGCATTTTCCTGAGTTTCTGATAAGCTGACTGCTTATTCCACTGCTAATTCCTAGATTACAATCTCCTGTATGACCTTTGCCCTGGCCAATTCTTTTGTTGATTCTTTGGCATATGTTAAATTATCCTGAAGTTGCTTTTTTACCCTAATAAGTGACCGATAGCTGCTAATGCTCCAGTGACAGTATTTCCCGTGGGAAACCAAAACACCATCAACTTGCTACTAAAATACTGCATCATCATGGCTGACATTTTTCCACTTCTTCCTGGAAGCAGAATGGAAGACACTGGGTGCGGCTGAACTAAAACTCCAACTAGTTGTAAATGTGAAAGGAAAGAAGCTATATTGGCCATGCAATTCTACACATTCAGTGCCGCCTGAGTGTTTCTAAGCTCCTTGCTCTATCTCTAATGTTTCTATTTAAAAAGTAGACAAACTTGATGACTAACAACAGAGAACGTGAAACAAATCTGGTGAATACTAGAATTAAGACATATGTCACGAGACTACCAGAGTATGTTTAAGTCAGAGAAAAAGAAATACTCCTTTCCATTGAGGGTAAGAAATACATCAAAGTCAGCATTCTAAGAGGTTATACAGGCCTCTGTAAGTATAATCAAGGAAGGATTCAGATGGTTCAAATATCTTCCTAGTAAGCAAATCCAAAATTCATTAATCACAGAATTGACACTGGTGACACCTAGTAAATTTTCTTTCTTATGAATTTGGAAGAATGTATTTAAGAGACATAAATACACGAAAATTTGAACAACTAATATTTCCATGTGTACATACATACTTCTTGTGGTCGGTTCATTCTTAAGCTGGAAGAGCTGTGCTTCCACCCTGGAGAGCTGCTGCTGTAATGTCTCCACTGTCTTTCTGTGCTCTTCCTGCAAATGTCGCACTTGATCTCGGAAGCTATTTCGAAGGACCTCATTCTGGGATGTTAGCTGACTCACAGTCTGTGTATGCTCAGACTTCATCATCATGTTCTCTGATTGTATGGAACACAATCTGAAAGATGAGAAACTTAGTTCACAGAAGATCTTTCTACTTTATATGTTGACTTTAGCCTTCCTCCACTGGGTTCTGCAAGAGAATCAGCTCTAAGACCTCTATTGAATGTATGAATCAACTTCTCTCCTACATACCTACATTGTACTCATTGTGTAATAACTTGATGAGAACTGACACTGGCTGTCATCTAGTTCAAATAATCTGCGTTCCACATTTCAGATGAAGAACCCCAGTTGAGAAACTGCGTTGTGTTGTCCAGACTAGGAACTTCATGGTTCATCAGAAAAAAGGACTATATTTAAAGCATAAAATAATTATACTTTTAATTAGTCCACTTCTTCATGTCATCGTATGTGGTAGCTCACATAAATATAAGATTAATCTCCCTTTTATCTACTACCCTGAAAATATAAGGGGGGGGGGAAAAAAAACTCACACTCTTGATTCACTCAGAAAACTTTAGAGGAAAGTATCCATTTTTGAGTCGATTGACACGAACCACAAACACAGACTTAGTTTACTATAGCTGTTTCAAATCTCACTGCACGTAAGAATCGCTGGAGTACCTTGTTGAAAATAGAGACATCTAGTTTTCATATTACACCCACTGAATCAGGATCTCAGTAGTATTCTAGGAATTCCCTACTTTTAGCAGTTTTCAACGTGATTTTTATGTGCTCAGCCTGAAACTAACCAGTGGGCCTACAATTTGGGAACCATCACGTTTAAGGGTTTACCTGTAGTTTTCATGTTTTACATGTTTGGCTTTGGTAAAACAAAAGAAAACAAAAAAACATTTCCTTTTATACAGGGGATCCACATAATTCTCTCATAAAAATACAAAAGCTGTCAGAGAAAAAAGTAAAAGCCCTCATTAATTACTCTCATGCCTGGCAGGATGAAATCCCAATTCCACAAGTAGATAAATGTTGTTAACAGTTTAGCCTATACTTTTCCAAGACATTTTTTCTACCTGCTACACTTATGCGCACCATATAAGGTTTAAAACAGGGGTTAGTGGCTGAAGAGAGAAATGCAATAAAATACCATGTTTTAGAAAAGAAATCTTAATTACTAAGTTCATATTGATTAATGAATCTAGAAAATACTAGTGTATACATATTTCTCTGCAAGCATTTTGTTCAAACAATATCTACCAAGAAAGTAAAGGAAGAACCATCGGTAGTTACAAAAATAGTCCAAGCAGGATAAATATTAGAGGTAGGGTAAAGTGTCTATTCTCAGGCAGTATCAGTGACATTTCTAAATTTACCTACTTGAAAGCTAAATATTTAAACCCCCCATCTGGAATAAGAATGACTGTGCTGATGGAAGTTCACTGTTCTGTCTCAGTTGTTACTGAAGTGTTTATATTAACTGTAGTCTCTGGGTAATACAGATATTAGTTAGCCTAATTATCACATTCCTCTGGAACCATTTTCACAATCTACTATAGAGAAAGTATAAATATTAAAACATTTTTAAAAGTGGAGACTACATAAAGAGGCTATTTCTTCATACTTGGGCACAGACAGTAACAATACTGTTAGTTTTTAACATTTCTGAAGAAGAGGAAAGACTCCTAAAGATACCTCAAAATGCTATGAAAAGTGACTGGCACATAGTAGGTGCTCAAAAAACACTTACTGAAAGATGGAATTACTTTAGAGGAATCAACAGTTACTTTATTTGTGTTAGCAATGTAATTTGCAATAACTTTCCTAAAGAATAAGTGTTGGAGAATATCAAGCAAACATCACCTAGATAATCTCATGGTAAACCCTGGTGATAGGCAGCTAAAAAACTGGTCCATCTCCCTGAAACTTTTGGTTTACATGATTGACAAGCAAATTACACTGTTAACAGACAGAAGCCACAAAAAGCTAAGTGCTTTCACTTTTCAAATTAGCATAAGATTAGATATATATTATATAAGAAAATCTGTGATAAAAGTATCTTAACAGCCTTGATAAAAGACGCTCAATGAAGAATTCTTTTTCTCAGCCTAATATTCCTACTACCCAATTTCTTTATCATAGGAGTTCAAAACTTCTTGTTCACAATCTATTTATTTTGCCAATACGCCTAATGTCTATTTAAAGTATTATAGTGATGAACAAAATATGACAAATTGAAGATAGAATTGCAAAGATAAGTTGCAGATTCTTTTTCAGTTAGCAACTATTTGGGTGTTTTCTTCTTAAAAAAAAAATGCTTATGATTTGATACCTGGGTTGGAAAGTAGTATGTTTTTGTTTTTTTAGAGAAACATCCTAGCCAAGAAGGCTATAGGAGACGCAGAATATTGGATGAGCAGACAGACATTAGTTGTTCTTAAAAATGCAAAATACAAAAGCAACGTAAAAGGTGAAGCTCTAAGGTAGATAAAGCAAAGTTACCAAGCCTTTAGATAAGTCTATTTTTTATTTTCTCATCTGCATTTATCTCAAGGAGCAACATATTAGAAGTTTCAACAAAGAAATACATTGCTGTCTGGTACAGCGTTAGTGCTGCTAACAACCTTACTTTTCCCGGAGTTCCGCCTCTTTGGACACAGTTTCCTGAAGCATCTTGTTGTGCCTTTCTAGCAGTGTATCATGTTCAAACTGCAATGTCTGAAGTTCAGATACATTCATCTGTAAGTTATTTTGGCTATCTTGTAATTTGATTTTTAGTTGGTCAATCAGCATTTCCAGATGTTCCCTAAAACAGAAATACAGTTTTAAAATTTTTTGAAAAAGGTGAATTTGATTTTGTGGTTTTAAATATAGTTAACCATTTAATCTTTCAATGTCATACTCTTGGATGATTCTAAAGGAAATACAATAGAAGAATTCAAGACTAGGATTAAATATAATACAAAAGATACAGCCAGATTTAAAATCTTAGGCACTATAGATTTACAAAAAATTTCTCCAAAATTTAGAATTTCATATTCAAAAAGGGGCATCAAAATAGCCTATTTTATGTTACAGGACTACGTCAGCTAAAGAAAAAACGTCACGTTACTTTTTTTTTTTTTTTTTTCTGAGATGGAGTTTGGCTCTGTTGCCCAGGCTGGAGTGCAGTGGCGTAATCTTGGCTCACTGCAACCTCTGCCTCCCAGGTTCAAGCGATTCTCCTGACTCAGCCTCCCGAGTAGCTGGGACTATAGGCACACACCACCACACTCAGTTAATTTTTTATTTTTAGTAGAGGCGGGGTTTCACCATGTTGGTCAGGTTGGTCTTGAACTCCTGACCTCAGGTGATCTGCCAGCCTTGGACTCCCAATATGCTGGGATTACAGGTGTGAACCACACCTGGCACACTCACAGTTCTTAAATTGTTGTTTTAAAAATGGTATGTCAGACCAAGTTACAGTGAAAGATAATCCCTGAAGAAAAGCAGGTCTTTTCAGACTTGGAAAAAAAACTAGGTGGAAATAGTTAAAATCCTAATTCTGCCACAATAAGTACAATACACTATTAGTTTCTTTTTTAAAAAATGTATTTATATTAAAGAAAGTAGAAGCAACACAAAACATTTACATTCATATAATCTGAACTCAAAATTTAGGCATGGTCAAAAATGGCTCTTGAAAATGGTGACCTTTTTTTATTTATGAAATGCATCAGTATCTAATTTCCCCTTTATATAATGGGCTACTGGAGAGAAAATACCATGTTTCAATCTACAGTCTCTATATTTAATAGATTCCTAAATGAAAGTAACAGAAACATAAACATACAAAAATCCATAATAATTAGTCTTGTTTAGAACAGTAAGAGTCAGATGTAAAACTGCTTTGAATACTGAACTGCTACTCAAAGACAAAACACAGATGCCATGGAATGCCCTATCTCTTACTCCCAGTGCAAACAGGATTTGTATGCTACTTTTAAAGCAGCATAAACAACATACCATTCAAATAGAACTGAAATGGTCATAAACAAGAAAAGTTTAATTCTAGACCAAAATTCAGTATGAAATTTAAAATTGTTTGAAATAAGTAAAATATTTTAAAGCAAATTCTGTTTAACCTAAATTAATGGCAAATAAGTATACTTTGCATTTTAATTTTCACTTCTGAATTTTCAAAATTGGAAAAACAAATCATAATGTAATTTTAATGCCGGTATTTCTACCATGACAAGATCTTATTAAGACCAGATTGAACTGTTAGCCTATTATCTCATATCCTGGCCTCACTGTGCACTTTAACATCTAATTTTAGAGTTCGTAACAGTGTCCTTTGTAATGAAGTTTCCCTGTTACTGTCTGCAGACACAGTGAAGCCAAGAAATCCTGTTTTCTTTGGTAACAATATACATAATTTCACAGTTAAAAATCATAATAGGATTTTAGGCTGGGTGCCATGGCTCACGCCTGTAATCCCAGCACTCTGAGAGGCTGAGGTGGGTGGATCATCTGAGGTCAGGAGTTTGAGACCAGCCTGGCCAACATGGTGAAACCCTGTCTCTACTAAAAATACAAAAATTAGCTGGGCATGATGGTGCATGCCTGTAATCCCAGCTACTCAGGAGGCTGAGGCAGGAGAATCACTTGAACCCGGGAAGCGGAGGTGACAGCAAGCTGAGATTGCATCACTGCACTCCAGCCTGGGCAACAAGAGCGAAACTCTGTCTCAAAAAAAAAAAAAAACCACAGAAAAAAACCACACACAAAACATAATAGGATTTTCAATCTACTTGGTGAAGAACCTGCATTGTGGGAGGAAAATTCTGCATATTTAATTTAGACTTTACCTTTCTTGTTTAGCGCCCTCAGTTTCAGCCTGAGACATAGATTTATTTTTCTGTTGTTTTAGAACGTTATGAACTCGGACTTTGTAGCTCTCGAATTCAGAGGTTACAGTAGCTTGTTCTGCCTATAACATTTAAAAGGGAGAAACGTTTTGTATCGTAACAGGGTCCTTCTACTTTCTTTCAGAGATTAACAAATTGAGATAAAAACCTGTTTTTTAAAGTAAGAAAAATGGCTGACATACTTTTTGGTTCCTTGATTAACCCTGCTAAAAAGTATACTTCTGTTGGCTTTACACTTAATTTTCTTTTCAATTGATACATAATTGTACATATTTATGGGGTGCATGTGATATTCTGATGGATACACACAATGTGTAATAAGCAAATCAGGGTAATTAGGATATACATTGCCTCAAATATTTATCAGGTCTTTGTGTTGGGAGGCCTTACACTTTTTAAAGGCCTCTCAATAATATATTTTTTTTCCTGATAAGAGATCCGTTTCTACCATGTCTTCTACCTTGGTAGATTAATTTACTAACCATACATTTTATAGTGGCACTATGTGCTTTTGGAACTTTATAAACATTTTCTCTTATGATATCCCTTTTATAAATTTGAGGCAAATTAACTCAAATAAATTATTTGAACTTCAGTTTTCAAAACAGGGTGGTAAGTGTTAAGTTCCAGGTCTTCCACTTTCCTGAAGTGATCTGTAAACTCCCACAACAGTGTTGCCATGATTGCTTAAATAAGACCTGCATCTAACACAACCACTGCACTTTGCCTGTTTTGGATGATGACAAGAAAGTAGGCCCCCACAGCCGTGCTACTAAAATGTTATTTTACCATCATTTAGCCCTCAGAAAGAAGTGTAACACCTTTCTAATAAAAAAAGTTTTATAAAGAAGTGACACATAAATTGCAAAACAAGGTTGAAATGGAAAAAACATCATGTTTTTCCTTTTGGCAAAAAAAGTGATCCAAATTATGACCGGGGTTGGCACGGGATTGGGGTTAGAGGCAGATTAACTGAACAGGTCTTAATCTAATAAGTGCTCTTAACAGCAAAATACTAAAAAGGGAGAGAGCACAGCCCTGGAGTAAACACCAATGACTAGCTGACAATAAAATCCCAGTGGCTCGCTGTGGCTGCTCTGAAGAACGCACCTTGGCAGCACGACTCTCCTCCTGTAGCGCTGTCACTCTCTGCTGGTACGCACTTAGCGTACGCTGGTGCTGTTCTGCAGAGGTTTTCAGGTGCTCGTGGATTTTGTGTTTCTCTGATGTTATTTCAGCCAGCTGTATCTGGGGGTAAATCTTTAAATTTAGCTTTAGCAAATCCTACCTTCACTAGTTAAAGAGGTTTTCCTTAAAACAAACTTTAGGTTTGAGACATAAGTACATATAAGGCATAATTAAGTAGCGAAATATTTTTGTGTATTATTATTGAAAAAGAGACAAGTAGAACATTTTCTCACTAATTTATCTTTTCTTAAACCAACATCGATTAAAAAAAAAATGAAAATCCCAGACTACATATTTAACATACAATGTTTAAATACTTCAAGACATTATATATATAAAAATATATACAAACGTAGCAAACATAGAAAATCATTTTATAAACTGTTTCTTGTGACTGCAATATCATTTAGAAAGTTCAGATGCATGCTTATTTTGCACTATTCTACCGTGTATTACAAATTTCCAAATATATGAAAATAATCTAGCTTGAGCTAAACAATATACTCCAGTTATATACCAGACTTGATTTATTGTTGCAAATTCCTCAAAATGTTGAGGAATCTTTCTAGATATCCTCATAGGATAATTAGTAAAATCTCTGAATGGTACCTCACTTCTACATGAAAAAACATTTTTTTAATCTTAAAAAGTAAAAACCTTACTTTATAGACTTCTACTTGCTGCTGGCTTGCCTCCAGCTCACCTTTTAAAGATGCTTGAAGTATTAAGTGATCAGTTTCCTACAGAATGAGAATCTTGGTTAAATTTTTAAAAATGTTACTCATAAATAAATTATGAATAAGTACTAAAATATGAAACTGAAAAATTAACATACTGCTTGCTTTGAATCTGCCAGTTCCTTTTTGGTTTTCACAAGCAATTGCTTGATTTTGGTGTTTTTTTCTTCATATTGTTGTACTGAAGACTGTAATGAAGCTAGCACAAGAAATAATTTCAGCAGAAAAAGATGAAACATTTTTTATGAGTGAATTTGAATACACAAATAATGCCTTCTTTGTATTGGCTCATCTTTAAAAGAAGCCTGTTTTAGCTTTTTATTATGGAACACTTCAAACATACGTGACAGTAGTAACAACAGTGCCATAAACTCTACTGTACCCATCTCCCAGCTTTTACAATTACAATCCATGACAATCTCAGTTAACCCAGACAACAGCAAGGTACTTAAGAAATGTTAAAGTGAATAAATGTAGACTATAAACATCTTAATGGCAAACAGTTTTACACCCATTCTGGGCCCCAGTAACATTTATCCTGTTAAACACTTGACAGTGAAAGACTGGTGAAATAAACAAGAAATGCCCCCCACTAAATCAAGTTGTTATGATGAAATAATTAAAAGGTAAAGTGAACTTTATTTAACTCACTTATTTCTTCTTGTAGGGTTTCTTGTTTCTGTTTTTGAATTTTTATTTCTTGCTCCAAATCTTCTATCTTGTTGTTTTTATTACTTAACTTTTGATTTAGTTCTTTCATCAAACGTTCATAATCAGCTATTTCCATATTCATCAATGTGGTTTGTTGGGCATCCTACACATTTTATAAATAAAAGATTTAGACAATAGTAGATCAGTTCATTTGTAAAATTGCTAAAATGATGCCACAGCAATAAATGGATGCTTTTCTGTAATACTCAAATCGTTTACACTG